CCAGGACCCTGCAGGATCTGATTTCTTTCTGCAGGGCCTGTAAGACAGAGTTGTTCTGCCTGGCCTTTGGCTTGGAGCCAATTTGATTCCCTCCCTCTCTTTCTTTTTCCTTTCTCCTCCTGTGATGAGGCTGCATTTTAACATTTTAATATTTTACTGTTTCAATATTTTAATGTTGTATTTTAAACTTGTTTTTAAGTTGTATTCATTCAACTTGTTTTTATTATTGCTTGTTAGCCGCCCTGAGCCCGGCCTTGGCTGGGGAGGCCAGGGTATAAATAAAATTTATTATTATTATTATCAGGGACACTCGCCTGGTTTAGCCAGCCAGGGGTCTCTACATTGAGATAAAATACATATTTTGCAATAGCATGTTTAGTTGCCTTATACTGTCGAGATCATCATCATCATCATCTATTATTTATACCCCACCCATCTGGCTGGGCTTCCCCAGCCACACTGGGCAGCTTCCAACGAAATATTAAAATACTGTAATACATCAAACATTAAAAGCTTCCCTAAACAGGGCTGCCTTCAGATGTCTTCTAAAAGTCTGGTAGTTGTTATTCTCTTTGACAGCTGGTGGGAGGGCGTTCCACAGGGCGGGTGCCACTACCGAGAAGGCCCTCTGCCTGGTTCCCTGTAACTTGGCTTCTCACAGTGAGGGAACCACCAGAAGGTCCTCGGCACTGGACCTCAGCGTCCGGGCAGAATGATGGGGGTGGAGATGCTCCTTCAGGTATACTGGGCCGAGGCCATTTAGGGCTTCAAAGGTCGACATCAACACTTTGAATTGTGCTCGGAAACGTACTGGGAGCCATCTAGCTTAGTATTGTCTACACTGACTGGCAGCTGCTCTCTGTGTTTTTGTTTTGTGTTTCCTTAAAAGGGACATTCCCTGCTCTACGTAGGGATGCTGAGAATTGAGCTCTGGGCATTCTTCAAACAAAGCAGATGCCGTCCTACTGAGCCACAGCCCAGTACCTACTTTGCAATGCAACATTTAACAATACGCATTTTAAAGGAGGATTTTTGTACAGGATTTTTTTTTAATATCTCAGGCGACTGTAGAAATGTGGTGAAATTGATTTATGAATGAACCCATGTAAGGGGGGGGGGCAGAACAAAAAAATTCAGATCCCTCCATCCTTACTACAAACCCCATATCATGTCAGGGGGGATGAGCCAAAGTTTCAAAGGCAGCTCGCGAAGTGATGTTGTTCAAAATTCCCACCATGTAACTGTAAGAAGCAGCAGGAACCAAGCTAGCAGTTCAGTGGCGTGGCTGCATCTCCACTTACTGGTGGTGATGGGAACTGCACATCTAGCATTTCCTTGAACTGTTCGTTTATTGCAGAGCTTTCCAAACTGTGTCATGACATGTTAGTGTGTCGGCTGCAGTGTGTAGGTGTGTCGTACGAACGTTCCTGGAAGGGGGTCAGTTGAACGGCTAAGGGAGCTGGGCATGTTTAGCCTGGAGAAGAGGAGGTTAAGGGGTGATATGATAGCCATGTTCAAATATATAAAAGGATGTCATATAGAGGAGGGAGAAAGGTTGTTTTCTGCTGCTCCAGAGAAGCGGACATGGAGCAATGGATCCAAACTACAAGAAAGAAGATTCCACCTAAACATTAGGAAGAACTTCCTGACAGTAAGAGCTGTTCGCAGTGGAATTTGCTGCCAAGGAGAGTGGTGGAGTCTCCTTCTTTGGAGGTCTTTAAGCAGAGGCTGACACCATATGTCAGGAGTGCTCTGATGGTGTTTCCTGCTTGGCAGGGGTTGGACTCGATGGCCCTTGTGGTCTCTTCCAACTCTATGATTTCTATGAACCTCTGGTTTGCTAGTAAAACTGAATTACTGTGTCGCGAAATGATGTCTAAAAAGTGTGTCCCCCAACATGAAAAGTTTGGAAAGCTCTGGTTTATTGCCTGGGGCTGATAGGAATTGGAAGCAGAGTCCAATAACATTCAGAAGACCTCGGGGCCCACTCATGTTCTAAATGTTGTGACCCATCCTGGTTTTTACAAGATAAGGCAGGTGAATAAATGCACAAATTCTGATTTTGAAACCCCACCTTTTACTGCAATTTTGCACTTGAATTCAGCGACTTCTAACCTTGTCCAATTTCATATCTCTTCTTAGCGACCTTTTTTTTGCGTCCGTGTTGTATCTGCAACCAAACTAACAAGGCCTGTTGATTCATTCTTCGCAGATCCTGATTTATCACCCGTTCTTCATAAAATACGTTTATGATAACTGGCTGCATCATCATGGGGAGATACCCCTCAACAGGCTTCCTGTCGGTTATATTTGCTCTTCACATCTGCGATGAGGTACGTGCAATGCTAGGGCTCGGTGTGGACATCATGGGAAACTGTGGTTTGCCACCATGCCCGCTCAAGAGGGAGAACGAAAGCTTCCACTTTCTAAACCAACCACAGATCCTGGAGAGCTTGTGAGCATTGTAGACATCATAGAACCACCGCTTCCAATTCATGAAAAGTAATCGTGCCACTTTATTCTGCACATAATTCACATCCTCAATGAGGTGTGAATATGGGCTAATTCTCCAAGTTCAGATGTAACCAAGTTCAGGTAACCGAGCAAATATGAAAGCTTCCAGGCTCCTGCTCACAGAACAGATGGGAGTGAACAAGGCTCACACAGTTCATTTAAATAAACCACAGTTGCCGGATTCAGAGGTCACAAGGAACTGTGGTTAGTTTTAAATCAAAAGCAGAGGCTTTCAAACTCCTCCTTTGGCATGGAAAAGAAAATGAGAGAGAGGAGGGACCGCATTTTTCCAAATAGTAAACTACCGGAGCAGACCTCACAACCCCTGCAGTGAGGGTAAAAATAGATGCTGAGTGTCAGTTCTGGGTTATTCAGGTACACGGGGACACAGGTGGCGCTGTGGTGTAAACCGCTGAACCTCTTGGGCTTGCCGAGCAGAAGGTCAGCAGTTTTGAATCCCTGCGACGGGGTGAGCTCCCATTGCTCCGTTGCAGCTCCTGCCAACCCATCAGTTTGAAAGCACGCCAGTGCAAGTAGATAAATAGGTACTGCTGTGGCGGGAAGGTAAATGGCATTTCCATGTGCTCTGGTTTCCATCACGGTGTCCCGTTGCACCAGAAGCGGTTTAGTCATGCTGGCCACATGACCCGGAAAGCTGTCTGTGGACAAACACCAGCTCCCTCGGCCTGAAAGCAAGATGAGCGCCGCAACCCCATAATTGCCTTTGACTGGACTTAACCATCCAGGGGTCCTTTAACTTGTTCAGGTACAGTGGTACCTCGGGTTAAGAACTTAATTCGTTCTGGAGGTCCGTTCTTAACCTGAAACTGTTCTTAACCTGAGGCACCACTTTAGCTAATGGGGTCTCCTGCTGCTGCCGCGCGATATCTGTTCTCATCCTGAAGCAAAGTTCTTAACCCGAGGTACTATTTCTGGGTTAGCGGAGTCTGTAACCTGAAGTGTCTGTAACCTGAGGTACCACTGTACATTACTTAAACCCGATTCATTCATTCTTCTCCCACAGGCACAATTACCATCGTGTGGCGGGGAGATGGGAGATATGTTGGGAAGGTGACCTCTGCAGATGGGCTCCTTCTCTGCTTGGGGAAGGTGATGAAGCTGAGGATGGGAAGGAGATGGAAGAAGGGTCAAGAATCTCGTTCCTGCTCTCCCCTCATCACATGAGCTTGCAGAGGGCTTCCGTCCATGGAAATGGGGAAAGAGATTGAATACTATATGAGATACAGGTGGTCACCAACTTGGATGGCTTTAAAGGAGGACAAATTTGTGGAGGACAGAGCTATCAATACCTCTGAAAACTAGTTTCTGGGAAGTGGGGAGGGGCTCCTGTGCTCAGTTCAGCTTGCGAGCCTCCCTTAGACTCATCTGGTTGACCACTTTGAGGACAGGATGCTGGACTTAGATGGGCCTCTGGCCTGAAAATAATAATAATAATTTATTATTTGTACCCAGCCCATCTGGCTGGGATTCCCCAGCCACTCTGGGCAGCTTCCAACAAAGATTAAAAGTACAGTGGTACCTCGGGTTACATACGCTTCAGGTTACAGACTCCGCTAACCCAGAAATAGTACCTCAAGTTAAGAACTTTGCTTCAGGAGGAGAACAGAAATTGTGCTCTGGCGGCGCAGTGGCAGCAGGAGGCCCCATTAGCTAAAGTGGTGCTTCAGGTTAAGAACAGTTTCAGGTTAAGAATTAACCTCCGGAACGAATTAAGTACTTAACCCGAGTTACCACTGAACATTAAAATGTCACACATTAAAAACTTCCCTGAAGTCTTCTAAATGTCAGGTAGTTGTTTATCTCTTTGACATCTGATGGGAGGGCGTTCCACAGGGCAGGCGCCACCACCAAGAAGGCCCTCTGCCTGGTTCCCTGTAGCTTTGCTTCTCGCAGTGAGGGAGCCTCCAGAAGGCCTTTGGCACTGGACCTCAGCGTCCGGGCACAACGATTGGGGTGGAGACGTTCCTTCAGGTATACTGGGCCGAGGCCATTTAGAGCTTTAAAACAGAGCACTTGCTACATTGAAGGCCGAGACTTCTTCAGAGTTCTTCTCTCTTTTTCCCACAGGTGGACCTTTACGGCTTCGGAGCCGACAGCAAAGGGAACTGGCACCACTACTGGGAAAAACAACCCATCAGCCGGGGCTTTCCGCCAGACGGGTGTCCACGACGGGGATTTTGAATCCAACGTGACGTTGACTCTTGCCTCGGTCGACAAAGTACGCTTTTTCAAGGGCAGATGACCCCGGTCACGGGGAGCGCTGTGATTTCTGACTTACGGGGAATACAGAGACACTTGCCGAAACGAAAGGGGTCTCGGAGTTGACTGTATCTCACGCCTTAGCCGACAAAGCCAGGAACGACAGCCGGGTTGCAGTTTGCAAGCGGCATTGCTGGGTTCCCGAATTTTCTTTACCAACGTTTGAAGGATGTGGGAGGATTCCTCTTCCTGCTTCGTCACTCTCCCTTTCGTGAGACATTTCCACTCTGTAAATCTTGCCTTGTGCAAGTTAAAGGAAGCAAAAGTTAGATCCTGACCCCTAACCCCCTTTCGTCTTTCTGAGAATGCATATCTTGAGCTTTCATTTTCTCTGGGACCGAAAACACTTGCGGAAGAGATGCTGGATTTCATTCCTGACAACAGTGGATGTGAAACACCCTCTCCGTTCACAAATTACCTCAAAAAGGAGCTAATTCTGTTTTTTATCTTCTCCTAGAAGCAGCATTCTTGCAAGACCTCTGAGCTCCCATACTGCATTATGATCAAGTGTGCATTTGTCACCAGCCGGCAAAAATTGGCACCAGCTTTAGCTGAGATTCCTGCATTGCAGGGGGTTGGACTAGATGGCCCTTGGGGGTCCCTTTCAACTCTAAAATATTATGATTCTATTATTCCATTTGCCAAGAGCTGGGAATTTTGAATGAAACACTTTCCAGTTATTACTGTGGATTCCCCCCCCCCCCGTGTGAAATGTATTTGCTCTTCTTCATAGCCATAATTAAGGAGGGAAAAGATTGGGGGGGGGGTTGAAAATGAAGATATAAGAAGCTGGAGTAAACTAGTCACTATTGTTTACCTTTTAAAAATGTCTTTCTCGCCGCTTCTGAGCTTTCGACTCTGCTACCAATCAGAGAAATGAAGTTATTTTTATATCTATATAAATTTTTGTCATTGACATGTGCCTTTCTGAAATATCAAGAATACAAAAGGGAGAGTCGTTCTGGCTTGTTCGGCTCTCACCGAGACTGAAATCCCTCGATTAAACCTTTTTTACATATATATATATATATAGGGAAATAACTGACCAAAGTTCAACGCTACTTACCGTCATCAGTTTTTTTTATCGACAGCTTTCTTCAGTCTACTTGAAAGGTTCGCGAGCAACAGTCAGGTTTCAGTTTTGTTTTTGAGAGAGAGAAACGTTTTTGCCTTATTTTAAAAGAATGTGGGGGTTTTTTTTATTAAAAAATAAGATTATTATTTTTTTTTTTTGGCTTCTATTTTTGACTGCTGTGGTAGGTGGCTCCTGTGTGAAATTGTCCTGAAGTGGAAGGAAATTGTCTCCACCTCAGGAGGATATTGTTCAAGGGCTACATCGGAGGAGTGAGCAGAATCAAGATGTGAGATCCATGGCCAGGGAATGAGATTACTTGGGAGTCAGTCCCCAGCGAACTCCATACAGCTTACTTCTGAGCAGGCAAGCATAGGATCGCACCGTCAGGGACCTTATAAAGAATGAAAAGAGGAAGGGATGATCTCCACAGTTGACAAGGCCCTTAAGCGAAGGTGATGGGAAGAGATTAGGCTGGAACGTTGTGGAAAGCATCCTCTTCTGGAGAATGAAGAGAGGGGAAGCCGTCCTTAACGAAGCATTTGCCACAGGAACTAATTGTGAGACTGTTAGGAAGACGGCCGTGTGGCGGTTTCAAGAAAACAGTGGTGGGCAGATCCACGTTAAAGTCGCCTCGTGCCGCTGGTCGTGGGACCTCTTGAGGGGACGTTGGGGGGGGGGGGTCAGAGTGATTCTTTGTGCTGAAAATCCAGATGGATATGCTACCTTCTTATTTCCTTTTTTAAAAAAATAAAATAGTGCGTATCTATTTTAATTGTCGCTATAAAACGGAGAGAGACACCCTTTCTGAAAACCTCTCCGAAAGATCTCGTGCAAGGCTTTTTAGTTCTCACGGGCAACCAACACCTGAGGATAAACACAGTTATTATTTTTAAATAAATAAGAATGCATAAACCAGCTGTATTTCAGCAGGAAGGAGACGACGTGGGGGTCAGGATGGTTGCTTTTTCCTCAAAACGAAAGCGGCCAGATTTAAGGACGCCTTTTGAAAACTTGCCATTTGACCCTTAGCCCCAGTGGGTTGTGGTAATGAATTTCACAGCGCAGGGGTAGTTCGAAACCTGTTCGAAATGAGTGCCGCAGCAAGGATATTATTGTCTGCCCCAGAATTGTTTAGATTCCCTGGTAGGGTTGCCAGTTCCTTTTGCCCGCCTCTGCGCCTGTGCCTTTCACGGCAACATGATCTGCAAGCGGCTAATTCTTACCTCCACATTGTGGGAAGTGTTGCCTGCAGATCAGGGTCGCTGCTCAAAATGCACAAGAGCAGGCCAGACTGCCCCCATTAATTGGCAACCCTATTTTACAGACTGGAAATAATGTTGTTTTTTTCAACATCGTACTCTGAGCTTATAGGGTCGGAACAACATCCAAATAAATCAATTTGTAGTTAGCACCCGAGGAGGACTGAACTCACACGCACTTGATATGCATGTGAATGATTCTAGTTTCAGTCCCTGATATCCTGTCCCACCCCCTTTAAAAGGAAGTCTGGTTCATCATTGAATGAAATCAGGAATATCTTCCCTGCGAGGACAGAAAGAACTGAGACACATGGCTTGGCTTCAGGTGGTGCACTTACCCTGAGCACAATCTGGGACTGGTCAGAATTTGTGAAATTGGGCTTAATTTATTCTTCATTCCAGGACGCGGGTGGCGCTGTGGGTTAAACCACAGAGCCTAGGACTTGCCGATCAGAAGGTCGGCGGTTCGAATCCCCGCGATGGGGTGAGCTCCCGTTGCTCGGTCCCTGCTCCTGCCAACCTAGCAGTTCGAAAGCACGTCAAAGTGCAAGTAGATAAATAGGTACCACTCCGGCAGGAAGGTAAACGCCGTTTCCGTGCGCTGCTCTGGTTCGCCAGAAGCGGCTTAGTCATGCTGGCCACATGACCCGGAAGCTGTACGCCAGCTCCCTCGGCCACTAAAGCGAGATGAGCACCGCAACCCCAGTGTCGATCACGACTGGACCTAATGGTCAGGGGTCCCTTTACCTTTACCTTATTCCTTGTTCCAGTATTTTGAGGGGGGTTTTCCAATCAAGTATGTGAATATATATATTGCGTTTCTTAAAAAGTAAAGATAAAAAATTCTAGGTTGGTAGGGAGAATGAAAACATATGGAGCAGCGATGGAAGGCAGCGAAGGAAGGATAGAAAGTGGAAATTTGTAGGAAGGAGGAGATCTGCTTTGAGCACACAGGTGTCCCGACCACAGAACATCCCTGTAAATGTCTGAACAGGCAGAAACGCTTATGGGTTTTCTCACTTAGCCATGAGGGCTGCAGGTTGTGTGTTTGTTTGTGTTAGCAACCCCTGCTCTCTAGTCAGGGGCAGAGACTGCACTGTCCTCACTCAGTCTCGATGAGAACTCAGATTGATGCCTTTGTTTCCCACAAGCCACAGAGACCTCCAACTGGGAAAGCGTTCCCTAAGCTCCCAAATGTTGTGATGAGAAGCAGCTTCCCCGGTTGGATTTCTGCCTGTCCTGGCACAAGATTCCCTGCCGGAAGGCGGAGACAAACTGGCACCCTTAGCCCAATCAAACTATTCACCAGCCCACCTCAGCAGAGCTTGGAGCGTAAGAACATAAAGAAAATGTTCTCAAAAGAGCTGCTTATTTGGTTATCCTCCATAATGTTTTCTTCTTCTTCCAGAACCTGTGGTATTATTTTTTTAAGGAAAGAAATCACTCTTAAGAAACTTGTTGGCTTATCATTTTTAAATCAAGGTGTGTTTGTTGGGTGGGTGTAATTTCTCCCCCTTCTCCCTTCCCTATTGGGTTGTGTCGCTGCTTTTTGCAGAATTCTCTTCTGCGTTCTGCTTATACTTCTGGTGTCTGATTTGGCAAGGCTGCAAGTTCCCAAGCAACTTAGACACACCCATGCTTCAATATTTGAGCCTTTAAAAAGCAGGCAGGGCTTTGGGCATTGTTTGGAAATGGACTCCCAGTCAAAGACCAGCCCTGCTTTAATGGGTGAGATTCTATGTCCAATAGCTTTTGTGAGCATTCAGAAAGTTCATCTTCTCCCCTTTGCTGAGAAGAAGGAGACTGTGTCTCTGTTTACCTCTAGGCGGCAAAGCCAGCATTTCTCACTTTTCTGATACCAGGTGATCAGTGATTTATTGATTAAAAATGGAAGCTAACATGACACTCAAAATGACAAGGGTTTTCTCATTTTCCAGCAAAACTCTAGTAACCAGTAACACTCTATAGCTGTCTTCCTGCTATGATCGCAGTGAGGGTTACCAGCTATATATATATATATATATATATATATATATACACACACACACACACACCTACTTGTGCTCTTGTGCCTTTAACAACAACTTGAACTGGAGGCAATGGGCAGACGCGTTGAACTCAACTGCCTAATTTAAATCCATTTCAACAGGGTCTGCCTGAGTTGTTGGCTGCAGCTTTCCATTCTGCGCAGAAGCTTTTACCCACCAATTATTTTGAAGGTGGAGTGGGTGTTAAAGGCGGAGGAGCAGGCCTAGATAGGTTTCCTGATCAGTTGGCGACCTTAATCACAGAAATGTCGGTGAGGGCGAGGGTCAAGTGCCAGCCCCTGCAAGCTCCCCTTTTGAGGAAAGAACTGTAGCTCAAAAGTAGAGCTTTGCATACAGAAATACCTGGTTCAATTGCTGGTGTTGCCCAATATAGGGCTGGAATGTCCCTGCTAAATTATCTTTTAAAAGTATTTATTTGTAGGTGTGGGTGTTTTGAGCAAAGCCAAATTTCTTTGACACTTGTCTCCAGGGTTGTCGTCAAAGTCTTCTTTCTATCTATCTTTCTTTCTTATACTGCTCTTTATATGATCACTTTTCTCTCTGCAAATGAAGGATCACTTTGTTTTACTTGGCGACATCTTATTTATTGTTGACATTTTCAATACGATGCAAATGACTTCGAATAAATTTTTGTATTGTAATCACCCGTTCCTCTCGAAGGCCTCTTTATTAGACTCGGCGTCTGATTAAAGAAATTGTGCTCGCTGACCGCAGGAGCTTGCGGTCAGTTAATTGGTTAAATTGTTCGTTGAGTGTGTGGCAGCTGTGAAGAATCAGATTCCGTGCTATGGGTCATTAGGAAAGGAATTGGAAATAGAACTGCCAATATAGTGATGCCGTTATACAAATCTACGGTGCGACTGTATTTGGGGATTGGTGGCGGGGCGATGAACAGGGTTTAGTGAGCTCGGGGTGTATGTGGCAGAGAGAAATCAGAAGCAGGCTGGAGAGGAGGGGGTGTCAAGAGGCAGAGATAAGACTGGCTGCTGCAGAAGCCAGGGGGTCTTCCCATCCTGCAGCCAGTTCCCCTCCCTGCTGCTCTCCCAGGACCAGTAGTGCTATGAAGAGCAAGGATCAGAAACAGATAAGACTACAAAGTCTCAGATTGCTTGGGAAGGACCCAGGGAAGAAGGAGACTTAGAGAATAGGGGCAAAATCCACCAGGACGAGTTTCTGTGCCTTCCAGAGCCATCCATGTTTCCTTGAATAAAAAGTTACCTTCACCGGCGCTGTGTGATTTATTGCTAACCTGCTCCTCACAGTTCTATATACTGTATTTTTCGCTCTATAGGATGCACTTTTCCCCCTCCAAAAATTAAGGGGGAATGTGTGTGCGTCCTATGGAGCGAATGCAGGCTTCTTGGCTTCAGCGAAAGCAACG